CAGTTAGCAGAGCTCGTTTTTATACGTGCATGTGTATGTATGTATATGTGCATAAGAGTACAGAATGATGAGAATATCAGATTTGAGGGTTTACTTGTTTTATTTAATTATAGTTTAGGCTTAATTTTAAGTCAAGATACATAGATTATAAGTGAGCCGTCTTTGCTTTTATTAATTTGTTTTTTACATATTGAATGTTATGTTTTCAGTTTTTATACTGAGTCACGAAATGTCTACGGCTAGTAGGGGCGTGGCAAATCGGGGAAAACTAAACTTTCTACAGTATTAAAGCTAAACTTAGCTACTAAATTGCTGATGGGATGTGAATGAGTATTTCGCAGCAGGCAATGCCCGATTGCAACGTCCTTGTTATGTTTAAATCAATGAACTAATATTAAACACAATTCATTTTTATTATTTTTATTGTTTTTATGCATTAATGACTTAGATATTTGCATCCAAAGTAAAAAAATTCAATTTTTTTTTTCAGTGTGCCAACTCATTTTTGATAGACTATATATGTAAGTTAAAAATCGTAGTGCCGTATGACTCTAGTGGCGGCCACATCCAAGTGTATACTTATCTTGATTCAGTCAACCCAAAAGAATAAACTATCTCGATACTTTAATTCAAACCGTTATAATTTTGTTAGTCCGCTGTTATCCAAACATCGTCCGATCCGGTTGACCTGCCAACGCGATCTGCCCTTATTTAGGCGGCGGCCTTTTATTTGGCGCGGTTGCGACGTCGACCTTATAGCGGTAGAGTGGCTGTCGCGTCAGCGACATTCTTAACTACATATATATTTTACTTTTATAAATTATGGAATGAAGCTATCGAATAGTTTAAATAGAGATTAGATGAATTTGAAATTAGCTTTAATTTCAAATTTAATATAATGCATTTGCTGCTGTATTTCATAGCACAATATTTCGGAGTGGTATTCGAAATCTGCTTAGAGCTCTGAGGTCATACGATTTGTTAACACTTGAACCCGTCGAGCGTTACAGCTTTTGCACAGCACATGGTCATCTAAGGGGTAGCAACCGCGACCGTCGGCTTCTGATGACAGTAAGAGGGAGCAGTCCTGCGGGATAAATATTTGAAGTAAATACAAATTTATTATTATTACATAGAAACTCTATTTTTTTATTGTCTTTAATAATTAATAGCTCTATATCCTTAGAGATAGATTCTTCTTCTTCTTCTTCTATATTTGTATATATCTATCGTCTGTCCAAATCTACATCTCCATAATCCTTACATATCTAGATCTCTAATTAAATATCTAGGGCTATATATAGGTTCCTTATAAGCCGCGTTCTAGCTCTCTTAATCTATATCAATTATCTACTACACATTCATACATATATTACATTCGTTTCTCATAGAAGAGTGTTTATTGTGAACGTTATCGCTTACTATACATGTATATATTTTCTGAAATACTCACCTCGCATTTATAACATTCTAGGTGGAAACTTCGATCAAGGGCAACGACCCGTACGGTTTCTTCTTGTCCGGGCTCCGGCATGATTGGCTCCTGACAAACACAGCAACGAGGAGCAAATTTCCTGAAATATTTTTTTATTAGTATATATATATAAATAATTCAGTATATCCATTAATTATTTTCAAAACAAAATAAGTATGAAAGCTCTAGTCAAGACTGCTCGATTTCAAAACAAAATAAGTAAGAAAGCTCTAGTCAAGATTGCTCGATTACGAGATCTCCTGAACCTAATAAAATATGATGTTAAATTTGAATTAGTTTGCCTTTTTATATCTTGAACCCATTGTAAATGGGAAATCAGGGTGTAATTTTTTTTATGAAAAAATATGTCATAGGCAGAAGGAATCATCGCAGACTCCATATAGTATATATATTCTTGATCAGCACAACGATCTGAGTCGATATAGCCCTGTCCGTCCGTCCGTATGAACGTTGAGATCTTAGATATAAGAGCTAGAGAGCTGTATGCCATACGTAGCACGAGATTCTCATATTTTTTCGATAACTCATCCGATAATTTTTTTATCGAGAAAAATCGAAAAATTGATATTGTTTTTAGAGCCTCATTGAAATAATAATAGAACTGGAGACTTCAGACTTACTGTGTATATGCATATGACGAATACAAACAGTTCTAGATGCCAGAGATTTGTGCCTTAGAATGTACACAAATTTTAACGTTATGATTACGCTCTGAAAGTTTTATTAATAATGTATGTCTACAAAAGACATTATTCAACAAGTAAATTCTCATCCTGTTGCCCAAACTGCAGCGCAGCCCAAGCACAGTCACTGCTTAGTGTGGATGCATTTGTATGTATGTGTGCATAAAAGAAGTGCAGAATGACTAAATTTTAAGTTTGGAGGGTTCAGGGTATATGTCTCGACTAGGGGCTTCTACTTGTTTTGTTTTGCAAACAATTATTACACATAATGTATTTAAAATTTATAAAAATAAATATATATGAGCCAACGTACTTATGGAAATCTGCAATGCAATAGTTTTGATTCGTCGCATCTACGGTGAACGGAATAGCTGCGGATAGATAAACAAATGCATGCATCATTAAATGCTTTAAAATTACAACGTTCATTAATGAAATTAAATAAAAGAGATCAATTTTGTATACCCTGGAAATTGAATGGTTATGGTAAAATGTACATATGTGACAGCAGACAAAATTATGGCAGACCCCATCAAGTAAACGAGCTGTGTTGATTCAGAAAAGTCCGATTGTAGCTATATATGAACGCGCTCTGCTAACTGCGCAGTAAGCAGCGACTGCGCTGCAGTGTGGGCAATATTAT